AAGCTAAGTATGTAAAAGAGCTAGTTAGTTCAAGACACTTGAAACATTTTGTCTGCTAAGGGCTTGCATTTATCTTAACTCACGTGAGCCTCACATTAGCCATGTCAGATGGTGGGGACAGTTGTTCTTTCTGCTCTTCGGGTGAGGAGAGGAAGGCGTAGGCAGTGGGGCAAGCAGAGCCGCAGCTGGTCCTGCAACCAACTCAGAGCCTCTCGCTTTGAATCTTGTCCAGGGGCAGCAGCTCCGGCCGCTCTTAATTTCAGTTCAGGTGCCATTCTGGATCTTGGGACTTGCTTATAAGTAACTACCAAATGTTTCATTGTATGGACTTGGGCTACCTGTAGTGACAGTGCTGACACAGAAGACTTAACGCCAGTATGTTGAATTCTCTAGGATGAAATATAATACTTAGGATGTAGGGAACTGCCGCCATCAGGGCCCAGACAGAACTATCTGAGTGTGCTATATTTAGCATATGGTACACTGATACTCTGTCCTCATGAAAGTGAACCGTGTCATGAGTGAAACGCCACTTAATGTGGCAAAATGCCTGTTTTTCAGAAATGTATTGCATGAGAAGCTTGTTGGAGAAGAGAAAGCCTTATTGATATGTCTGTTTTGGAAGGTTTATATTTCACAGCACCCTTTCTTTCCTTTAGGTAGACAGATACTTAATGACAAAACCATCTGGAGAAAATCAACCTGACATTGGGTAAAGGAGTTCACAAAAATGCAGGCAGTTTTGCTCTTGTCAAGGGGTGTAAAGGTTTAGCTCTGGGTTTGGTTGATAGCACTAAGGAAAAGCTGGAAGAAATTAACATGGCTCTCAAAGAAAACTGTTCTTGAAAAAAACCTCCTTGGAATAGAAATTTACTTTAGAATCCTTTAGAATCAGAAACTGGAAATAATTTATTTGAGGTCACCTTCAAGACTATCTTTAATTTTGTCATTTCATTGAAAAGTAGTTTTCTATTGTCTATGCCAGAAATCTTATTTCTTTTAAGGTTTCCCCCTGTCGGTGAAGTAGACTCTTCTAGAGTCATTAGAAGATGGTTGCATAGGGACTGAAAACCTTACATTTTTCTAATGTCAGGAAGGATGTCTCCTTACAGAATACAAACAGCATAATTTTTGCAAAAGCCCTCAATTGTTTTTTAAAATAGGTAATGACTGATCTGCCTCACGTGCAGATGAAAAACGTGCGGGGATCTGGCCAGTTATGCAGGAGAACGCCTGGGAGCCCTTGTAGATGAGTCTCAGAGGACTAGGGGGACAGGAAGTTGTCTCTGCTTCCTCTCTGTTATCCTGCGCCTCCGTCCTTTTCGCTGTCATCTTTCTTTCAGGGTGGCTTAGCCTGGAGCTTGTTGAAACAGTTTTGGTGTTTAGGCATTGTTAAGAAAAGATAATTCTTTAAAAAAAATTTTTATTTGTTGTTTTTGGCGGTGCTGGGTCTTTGTGGCAGTGCACTGGCTTCTCGTTGCAGTGGCTTTTCTTGCAGAGCACGGGCTCTAGGGCGCTCAGGCTTCAGTAGTTACGATGCACGGGCTTAGTTACTCCATGGAATGTGGGGATCTTCCTGGATCAGGGCTCAAACCCATGTCCCCTGCATTGGCAGGCAGATTTCTTTACCACTGAGCCACTGGGAAGCCCCTTAGAAAGGATAATTATTTAGGTAAATCTGTGTGCTAAGGAATATCCTGGCAGCTCTAACGTCTAAGGCAGTGTATTAGTTGAGAAACAAGGAAAATGGATTATGGGAAAAGAGGAGAAAGAAATCCTCTATTCAAAAGCATGCCACTGGTGGTGGTGTCAAATAACGTGTCTCAGCTGGGTAGCATATTGGGCCTAATTTGGGTGCAATCCACTTTGGGGCCAGTTTATTCTCTGATATGAAAGCTTTTATTTTTAAATGCATCTCTTTTCCCCCGATGCTATTGAAGTTTTAGAGAGTCAAGAAGAAAAAAACTCATCCTTCTAACAAAACTACTGTTAAACTTTGCTACAGTTCCAGACAAGTCTTGTTTTCTTCTCTAATTATTTTTGTGTGTCTAGAATTAGAAAATGCGTACGTTTTGTATCCCACTTCTGTGAAATGTCTTTCAGTGAGTCCTTGGAAAGTTGGCTAAAGGGCAAATATTGGATGATACCACAGAGCAGCAGCTAAATTGTCACTCGGGTCTGAAAAGGGACCTTCTGTTGCAGGCTGCTTTTCTCGGTGGGTGACTAGTGTTTGCACATTACTATTAAATAAGTGAATGATCTCTAAAATGGTGCTGAGGCTAAGAATGATGGCAGATTTCTGGGGGCGGGACGGGGGAGGGGGAAATTGTCTGTGCTTTCCAGAAATTGTCTTGATTCGTGGCTAGGATTTAATCAGGTGCTGCCTTCAGGTATACATTCTTATTTTTTTTTCTTCTGTTTCCATTTAAATGAATCCTTTTCTTGTATCAGCTCAAACCCATGTCCCCTGCATTGGCAGGCAGATTTTTGCTTGTCATGTCAGACTCTTTGCGACCCCATGGACTGCATGGACTTTCTTGTATAGAGATATATTTTCTATGGCAGAATTATTAATAAGACTATCATCCGTCTACATTATGATTGACAAACATAACAGGCCAGCTGTGTAGGGAAAAAAATGGAGTCAGCTAAGATAGGAATGGCCTGAATTTTCATCAGAGAGAACTTTTTTGGGCAGACTGAATTGATGAGTTCTGTTTTATTTTGCTTGGATCCAGTAAATTCATTCCAATACATTAAAGTCACTTATACTTTTAATATACTCAATAGTGTATTCTATTAGGACAGACTCACTTGAGATTTTCTTTGTGGCTTCTTGTCGAATGAAATTTTGCTGGTTGATGTATTTATTAACTTATTTTGTTTACTTGCGTTGGGTCTTATTTGTAGCATGCAGGATCTTTTGCTGCTGCGCATGGGCTCTCTAGTTACGCCCTGTGGGCTTCAGTAGTTGGGGCTCATGAGCTTAGTTGCTCCATGGCATATGGGATCCCGGTTCTCCAGTCAGGGCTCAAACTCGCATCGTCTGCATTAGAAGGCTGACTCTTAACCACTGAACCACCAGGGAAGTCCCTCGCCAGTTTATTTTGTTAAAGCTAGGGAAAAACTGATGGATATTTCATTAAAAAAGCTACACGCCCAGGAATGTGTATAGGAGAGAAGGAGTCATGTAATTTGGGATGCATTCTCTCACTAGTGTCTTTTATTTCAAATACCATGTGCTAGAAAGGTTAGATGGTCTTTATCATCCTTGTTATTTAATGCTCGCAGACAGTTTTTTCCTTCTCTCCTTTGTTTTGTTCATCACTGTATTTTTAACACCTCCCATAGTACCTACCTGGCAATAGCAGCTATTCAGAATTTGTTGCCCTAGATGTTGGTTATTGTACTGTTCATGGGGTTCTCAGGCCAAGAACACTGGAGTGGTTTGCCACTCTCTCCTCCAGTTGACCATGTTTTGTCAGAACTCTCAACTATGATCCATCCGTCCTGGGTGGCCCTGCACAGCATGGTGCATAGTTTCACTGAGTTACACAAGCCCCTTTGCCACAAGAAGACTGTGATCCATAAAGGGCAAAACTCAGCCTTCAGAAAACTAAGATCGTGACATCTGGTCCCATCACTTCATGGCAAATAGAAGGGGAAAAATTGGAAACAGTGACAGACTTTATTTTCTTGGGCTCCAGAATCACTGCCGACAGTGACTGCAGCCAAAGAATTAAAAGACGCTTGCTCCTTGGAAGGAAAGCTATGACAGACACAGACAATGTATTGAAAAGCAAAGACATCATCTTGCTAACAAAGGTCCATGTAGTCAAAACTATGATTTTTCCAGTAGTCATGTACAGATGTGAGAATTGGACCATAAAGAAGGCTGAGCACCGAAGAATTGATGCTTTTGAATTATGGTGCTGGGGAAGACTCTTGAGAGTCCCTTGGACAACAGGGAGATCAAGCCAGTCAATCCTAAAGGAAATCAGCCTTAAATATTCATTGGAAGGACTGATGCTGAAGCTCTAATACTTTGACCACCTGATGCGAGGAGCCAACTCATTGGAAAAGACCCTGATGCTGGGAAAGATTGAAGGCAAAAGGAGAAGGAGGCGGCAGAGGATGAGATGGTTAGATAGTTATCACCGACTCAATGAGCAAACTCCAGGAGAAAGTGAAGGACAGGGAAGCCTGGCATGCTGCAGTCCACAGGATCACAAAGAGTTGGACCCAACTTAAAGACTGAACAACAGACATTGTTGTTTATTGCTAATTGCAGAATAATAAACTTTATTCTTTTTTTTTTTAATGTGGTAACTTCCCTGGTGGCTCAGTGGCAAAGAATCCACCTGCCAATGCAGAAGGAGCAGGTTCGATCCCTGGGTCAGGAGTATCTCCTGGAGAAGGAAATGGCAACCCACTCCAGTATTTCTGCCTGTAAAATCCCATGGACAGAGGAGCCTGGTGGGCTGTAGTCCATGGGGTTGCAGAGATGGTCACAACTTAGCAACTGCACAACAGTGGTTTAAGTGGCATTGCTTCTTGACTTACACTGAAAGCCAACTTGCCTTTGTAGCTTGAAGGCTCTGTATTAAATTTTCTTGAATATGCACTCTCAAAGTTTTAGGCTGGATGACTTCTGTGAAATGTTTTTTTCTCTCTAGAATGGAAATAGATTTTAGAAATAGCTCTAGTAATTTTAGATTGTTAAGTAAAATTATTGCTGTTTGCAGTTTTCTGAAGCTAACATAATACGTTCTCACAGAGTGCTGTGGATAATATAGTGAAAACCATAGGAGATTTAGTAATTAGTATAAATTTAAATATTCTAAAATTGATTGGGAAAAAACTGATAGTGGAAGACAAAGTGGTGACTAATTTCAGTAATTGATACTTAAATATAATTTCTCATTGTTAAAAGTGTAAATGAGTATTAAAACTATATAAAGAGAAACATCCTAAATTATTCTGTTTCTTTTTTATTTCAGGGCTGAAAACAGTGAAGTCACATTTCATTGTTTAAAGACTATTTAGAAGACAAGATGGGGACTCCTGGTTCTGGAAGGAAAAGGACACCTGTGAAAGACCGATTTTCTGCAGAAGATGAAGCTTTGAGTAGCATTGCCAGAGAGGTATGTCTAGAAAACCTCTCTCACCACTGAGTTGTATAAAAGAGAATCTTGTAAAGATGCTGGGGTAACAAATATAGAGATTCATTCATTGAGCTAGTTTCAGAATGTTTACTGTGAATTAGATGTTAAATACAGCCTCCAAAATATTATATTAGAATAAAATGCAGTTACTGTCTCTTTACTTGGGTATTTATTCAAGTTATCTAAAATTAATTTTTCATTTTATTTTTGTGGTTTAGTTGACCTCCAGGGACTTGTCCTAATGTTTTGAAATTTATAATTAATATTTGTTATTGAAGCTTAAGGTAATTAGAATGTTGAAGATATGATAGCTCTATTATAGAAATGCTCATTTGGGCTCTACAGTTAATATATTCCAGGAAGCACTGTATCATTGTTGACAGAAACAGTCCTTATTTGGTGTCTGCTCAGATTCAGCATCTTAGCAGTTTTTGAAATAACTGCAGTGGAATTTTTGTGTTTAACTTTTAGCTAGTAATAGAGCTTCCGGAGCATTTTTGTTTTGATTTGTTGACAACTCAGAAAAAAGGACAAAAAGGAAAGGAGTGTCACCTATTAGATCTCTGGCAGCATTTCCTGTTGCATATTGGACATTTCAGATAACTCCCAGCTGTGATTTCTTAGTGAGGAGCCAACTTTGTTTCAAACTCTGTCTGCAGTTGCAGACCTGACTATATACTAACCTGGTAGAAGAAGCACTTAGAGCATTTTCAGATTGTATTCTTTGGGTGCGAATTGTTCCCTCATCACTTCCTCTTTGTTATTCTTAGTAAATAACTCATGTAAAACTAGTGCTATTTCCTTTTGACATATAACAGTGTTTTTTTGGATTTAGCTCATTGTTACATTTTTCTTTTTGTAAGCTACTCAGCTTTTGAATTGAAAGTCAAATTTTGTAGGAGGATATTTGAGGCAGAGGAAGTTCTCTAAAATCTGATGACAAAACTGTGATAATACCTTAACAAAGTTTGTTTTTAAAAATTGGTGATACTGTAAAAGCAGTGCTAAGGGGAAGATTCATAGCATTACAGGCCTACCTCAAGAAACAAGAAAAAAGTCAAATAAATAACCTAACTCTACACCTAAAGCAACTAGAGGAAGAAGAAATGAAGAACCCCAGGGTTAGTAGAAGGAAAGAAATCTTAAAAATTAGGGCAGAAATAAATGCAAAAGAAACTAAAGAGA